GCTGATCTACCCATGTATATTTATCCCTCATCACTCATACTGGTCTGTGGGTATTCCTCTTCTCTGACATTGAGACACATGCTTTAAACTCTCCTTAAGGAAGAATTTGTACTACCATAGTTTATGGAATAATTCAATACAAATATGTAAGCTCTCCACTGAAATCCAAAAATTCAGATGTCATACAAAGGCATATGTGAAATACTAACATATATTTCTTAGGATGGTTTATTTTACCAGCTCACCGAAGACATACAGAAGCATTGACTTGAAAATGCACTTTTTAACCACTTTTAATACCCTTAACTAGGTTCCCAGGCCTAGTTTAAAGAGGAAGACAGAATACTCCTCTCAAATTATCAACAGCTTCCAGAAAATTAAGCTGAACGTAATTGATTATCCATTCACTGTCTTTTCTTGCTTTCATGTATTAATATTCAACAGTCAGCATCTACTCTAGTACTTAGACCATTGAAATTTGAATTTATTCATCTATTCATTATTTAAAGAGAGAAAAAAAAAGATTTTATTAACATTCTATGACCTACCTGCTCTGGGGAAAGGCCTAAGAGTGGGGGAATCTGGCATTTGCCCATTGTTAATATCAAGTGCGTTTCAGACCAGGATGAGCAGGATAGGTGAGGTGACCTGAGAGTATTTCAGTTCCTCTGGAGTCAGGTCTTCAAATTGTGACTTTTAGTATTATGGAAATATTATTTTCCACATCAGAACTACCCATACAAATAAACTGTAAAGCTGAGTTTCAAAATAAAAGTATTAGTCTCTCAAGGTAGATTATTCCTACATCTGATCTTTAATAAAAAGGGGTTGATTGTCAATAGCTGACTTATAGACTCAAGAACAACGTAAGACTAGACTAAGGCATAAAAATATGTATTTAACCATTAGCTATCAATATGAACATTTTCTTTAAACTTACGATCATATAAACAGGTCTGGAACAAAAAACTAAAGACTGCTTTGAGAAGCCTAGAGACAACTGTGACCCATGGCTAACCAGTCCTAAAGCCTTACCTGATAGACCCAAAGTTGACTGTCAGCCCCTTCATCCCTACCCCATTTAGGTTGGTGGAGATTCCAGTCTGAGAAAGGAGGAATCCCTCTGACAACTTAACTGTCTTCAGCCCCTATTACTCAAGGACTCTCCATAATTCCAATAAATGAAAAATGAAATTGTTCATCCTCTAAATTAGGAATATGGCTCTAATCCTAAAGGACAGTGCAACTTCTTTGTATAGACTCAACAAAACAAAACAAAACAAAACAGGAAAAGAGCTTCCTGATTACAAAAAAAAAAAGGGGGTCAAGGTAGAAGAGAGACTATTCTTCTGAAAATTCCATGGTGCTATTTTAACTTCTGTATTTCATTATTTTAACACTGCTTTTTACATTAAGCACAACCTGAGTACACTTTTAAAAAGATCAAACTCATGAAAATATGTATTATGTATTATAAAATTCAGGGAAATTCCAGAGTTGGTTTACAAACTTGTTTTGGGGGGGGGGGGTATCTTGGTTTCAATTTTAAGTTTCACGTCAAAGATTTACCATCCCTCAAATTAGTATTGAACAGCATATGATGCCTTTTTGTAAAGGGTGCTAGGCAATATCCTATTTGAAATTATGGCTGTCTGCTCATGGCACAAATTTGTTAAAAATTTACCAAAGTGCCAGTAACAATTGTGTTGGCAGTATAAAAACAGTATTCGCTGCCTTTAAACCAAATTTACAAAATAAATGTTTGGCTCAGAAATTATAGTCTACGCTCTCAACATATTAGACTTGCCTGTACCTTCTAAATTTTAGCTATAAAACTGTTAGTACATTCAGGTGTGATAGAGAACCTAAGTATATAAAGAAAACTAGAAAATACAGGAACAACAAAGATCAAAACCAAGGCAAAGATCCACTGGTCCATGACAAATGTCCACGGTGGTGCCAGAAACAGACTCTAAAAGTGTGAAGTTAAAGTGCAGGGTATTCACTCTATTCACAATGGATAACCACTCTTTCCCCTCTAAACCTGAACATTTTCAGCACAGTTTCAGAATGGCATGAGTTACTTTTTGGGGGGGGGGGCGGGGGGGAGTGGTTTACAAAGGAGCACATCTGCCTGAACTAATCTGATGAAAAACCATAATCCATTTCTTCCCATTAGCTTTTGACTAAACACTGAAGCTAATTATGTCAGCTTTTTTGGGTTTTCACAGCAACATGGAATTTTAAAGAACACATTTAGTTCCACCACTTTATGCAAGACTGGGCAGTTTCAAAACATCTAACTGCTAAGATGTTAGCACCACACAGACACAGAAGGCTACATAAATTTTCCTTATAAGGCTAATTAAGACCTTTTGATTTAGAGAGACAGAGAACATGGATCTAATACGGGCAGATACGCATACTGTCCCGAATTCCCACTGCTTCTGCTCTAAATACACTTTTAATCGCTTTGGTCAGTACCAATCGCTTTTTAACTTCCATGCATCTTTAGTATTTGAAATAATTTCTTTGGACAACTGTGATCTGCACTAAGTGGCAGCTCATAGGAATTTAAAGGCGTGAAACATGTGAATTACACTGTTTTAAACCTAAGGGAAACGTAAACATACAGATTTGGGGTTAATTTACATACAGGTTTCATTTGGAGATTTTTAAGGAGGATGGGAGATGAAGAGGAGAGGGAGACTGGTGAGAAGTAGAGCTTTTTCCCCCATTTTCCTGCTTTGGTAGCCCTGGCAGGATTGAAGGGCTTCCCAGAGAAGGGAATCTGCACGACAGAAGTTGTCCAGGTGCATAAAATCCTTTCCCTCAAGTCTGGGGTTCTATGCGTAAGGAAGAGTCCCAAAGTAGAAACGCTGATGGGCTGTTGAAGGAAGCTACCTGCACAAAAGGAAGAAGGCACCCTCCTCGTGCCTAGGGTAAACTGAAAGGGATTCAAATCCACTTTAACTTGCTCAATTACAGCTTAACCAAATTCACCTGGTCTTATAGTTAAGGTCATAAATCCTGTGACAATCCAGCTGCCTCTGTTCTGTAGTCACTCACGCTAAATACCTCTTCACCAACTCGAACATTCTATTTATTCTCTGAAAGTGGGGGAATGAGGATGCTTCCTTTCCTGATTACCCACCCAATATCAAAACACAAAATTTATTTTCAGAGACTGTGAAATTTTTTAAATGATAACAATACTACTTCCCCTCATAATGCATTTTAGAATGATTTGGGATGAAATGCTTTTAATATGGTTCCTACAGCTCTTGGATTGTGTAAGAATCCAGGCGGGCAGTTTTACATAGGGGAGTAGCCATGGAAGGAAGCATGTCCACAAAGAGCCTGCTGACTGGTGACAGTGACGGGGCTTCAAGTCCTGACTTGGTCACTAACTGGTTCTGGGGCTTTTGGGCTTCTCAACTTTCATCTTTAAATTGACAGCCCTAAATGACTTTTAAGGTCCCCTTCAGCTTTAAGCCAGTGAAGTAACCATACGTTACAAGTACGAGAAAGAAATTATGAAAGACTTATCAAAGTCCATGTTTGTCCTGGATTAACTTTGTCATCTCTGTGCTACTGTGGAGGCAAACCTGTTGCATCACATAAAATGCTCTTTTTCTGGCTACATTAAAAATGCAAGAAGAGACAATAGGTTGGTTCTTTAAATGTTTCATTTTTTAAAGTGTAAACAACAGCATGTCCCCTGTTATAGGGAGTTCTCAAGTTTCACCTTTATAGTCTGTAACTATACACAGGATGCCACCTGGCAGAATAAGGCCACACCAGGGTGTGCTGGCTTGCTGTTAGAACTCTGTTATCCTGCGCGATTGATGCTTTGCATTTATTTCAAGCCATGTCCGAGCCTTATTTTGGGGCTGTTTGGGACCTTCGCTGTCAGTTCGCAGGGACGATTAACCGTGTAGTGGCCAGTGAAAGACGCCGTTTGCACACCACCTGCCCATGTATGTAATACGTACCTCTCGTGGCTTATGCTTACCAGAGCATGCAAGTTAAAAGCAACGGGATTCAACCTCATATCGTAACTGGCTACATGTACTACGATAGCGAAAAAAGGAAAACGAAAGAGCCTTTGACATTGCACCTGGTGGAAGCGAAAAACCTCTATGTCCCCTTACACGTTAATGTTACAGTCTTAAGAGTTTCAAAGGTTTGTCTTTTCTCCCAGAAAAACGCTGCCAGGCAGGAGGGGTTCCCAGTACGGTGCACTCACCTCTTTGATCTTTGCCCTCTTCTCGCGGATGGCTGCGTCGGCCGGCTCCCGGCCAACCGCCCCGATCGGGGGCACGAAGTCCACCGGGGGCAGCCTCCTGAACACCGCCTTGTCACGCAGCTGGTCCTGGGCCACCTTCTCCTTCTCCAGCAGGATGTCTCTTTGGATCTCCTCGGGCAGCTTCTGCAGGGTCTCCTTGGCTTCCCTGAGAGCCCGCTCGTGGTTTTCGCGGATCCTGGCCAAGTTGTCCTCCAGGGCGGCCGCCGGGTCCCCGGGCGCGCCCTCCTCGCCGCGCCTGGCTCGCCCATCTGCCGCGTCCTCGGCGCGCGCCCCAGGCCCGGACTTGTGGTCGGCGGCCGGCTGCAGGGCGGGGCTGGAGTGGAACAGGACCCCGCTGAGCAGCTTGGAGGAGTCGGGCAGGAAGAAGATCGCCCCGAAGCAGAGCGTGATGAAGGCGCTGAACACCAGCAGCAGCACGAACTTCTCCGTCAGGCGGAAGGCGGCGGGGCCGGATGCCTTCCTGCCGCCGCTGCCGCCGCCGCCGAGCCCCCCGCCCAGGCCGCCGCCCAGGCCGCCGCCCGCCGGGCTGCTGAAGAGCGGCAACAGGCCCCCCACCGGCATCCCTCCAGCCGCCGCGGCCGCCGGGGTGCCCGCTGTCCAGTGGCCCTGCGCCGCGCCGCTCAGCAGCCAAACTTCGCCGCCGCCCGGCGTCAGCGGCTGCGGGGCTGGGTCCTGCGCATCCAGGCCGCCCGAGCCCCTGGGCTGGGCTGCAGGTATGCGCCGGGGAAACAACTCTTCCGTGGGTCTTCTCCCAGGGGCAGCTCCTTTGGCAAACAAGCACGCGCGACAGACCGCTGGCTGCAGCCCCTGCGGGGAGAGAAACAGTAAAATGTGGTAATTACGATGATGGTGATAAAGTTTCCAGAGGGTCTCCGCCCTCCGACGGCCGTGCGAGCCGCCGGGACAGCTCCCCCAGCGCGGAGTGGGGAGTCCGGCTCCGGGCACCGCCCTCAGAGCTCCCTCTTTGGACTTGGGGGGAAGTTTTCGGGTCCCGGGGGGCGGGGTGTCCTGCGCACACCTGGAGCAGGGCCGCGTGCGGGCACCTCCTGGAGAGGGCAGCGCGCCTCTGGGCAGGAGGGACGCAGCGCGGGTCCGGGGGCTCGTCAACTTCGCCAGCTCCCCATCTCGGAGCTGGGACGAGCTGCCTCTGCTTCCCCGGCGGCGGCTGAGCGCGCAGCCCGGCCACCCCGCAGCCCCGGTCGCGCGGCTCGGCAGGGCTAGCGCGCCGACCCGCGGGCGAGTAGGAGCGAGCAGGGTTGCACGACGCCCTCCACCGCGGCCCCGCGAGCACTAATACCACTGCCGGTCTCCGAGCTTTCGGAAACGAGGGCGGTGACGCGTCCGGAGAGTGATGGCGCGGCCGGGCCAATCACGCACCGCTCAGGGTCCCGCGGGGGCGGGGCCGAGGCGGGGAGGGGGCCGCGCGGGGCGGGGAGTTTACGGGAAGCACAGCCTCGCGGGGGCCCGGCCGGGGGTGGGGAGGTCGCGGGTCTGGGAGGCGCGAGGCTGGCGGGAGTTGCGGCTGGCTGGCCGTCCAGACCCGCGCCGGAGGCCCGGGGCGCAGGGAAGCGGGTGGGGAGAGAGGGGTTTCGGGGTCGGGGAGTGTATCCCGCGCGGTCCTCGGGCCCGGGTCGCAGGGGCTCCTTGGCCTCGAGTGGCCGGGGAGACGCCCGGACTGACGCAGGACCTCCCTGCCGGCCCTCGGACCCGGCCCCCCGGGCCACGCCAGGCCCGCTCCGAAGGGTCCCGGGAAGGCCACGTCTCGCGGAGAATCGTCCGACGCCGGGTTGTTCAGAACGTGTCTTTTCTCCAGTTCCCTCTTTTTACCCAAGGCGGGGATTCCCCCGGTGCCCGGTGGCAGTCAAACCAAAAGTCCCTCGCCGAGGAGCTGTGATCCGAGAGCATTCGAGCTCTGTGGTCCAACATCCTTTAGCGTCCTAAGAGACTCATCGTTTTGTGGTTGCTCAGGATGCTTCGTCTGCATCCTTCCCCCTCCCACTTAAAGAAAAAAAGTTGTGTACCTCCTCCACCCACTCCCACTTTCAAAATTCATTTACCTCATAGAAGTTAGTCAAATTTTCCATTTAAAGAAGACAGTTTTATGCCATAGCTTCAAGTAATAAATTTCAACACTCTGTTGAAATTAAGTCTTGGCTGTGACTACTTCCAGGGAAGTAAGGACTTGGTCCAATAGAGATGGTTTTCAAGACAGCGTTATTTTCCAAAATGTGTTTGTAATTTCCCCGTTACTCTGCAAACGAAGGGTTATCAGAGAGGAAAAAGTTGACTACTGACTTCTCATTTCTGAAAGCTAGTCTGAAGCAGCCTTATCCTATGCCTCCCCCCTTTCTGGAAGCGTGACTAGCTCTGTTTCTGCTTGCCTAAAAACAAAGGAAACAGCTGGCAATTTACAGGAAGGTGCCCACAGTACCGTTGTTTCAGGTGTTAGACTGCATAGGAAAATATAAAAAGTCTCATTACAGTTTTCATCTAACTGTTCATTTTAACCATCACTATTTGTTGTGTCTTTATTTTGAGTAAAATGAGTGACACGCCCACTGTTTCTGTTGATGGGAGATTGTTGTTTGATAAAACCGACCTATGGCTTTAGTTATTCTGATAACTGCTGTGAAATTCTACGCCCAGAAGAGTGCAGCATATCCAAGCAGGGTAACAAAGTTTAGAAGGACTGAAAAGAAAACAACGATGTTTTAAAAATTAAATGATGGAATAGTAATTTTTGTTTCAAACTACATTTGCTAGTTGTGGATAGGCTGAAGAGTTGGAATCAGTGTGAAATAATATTGCTTATTTTCAACAGCTTTAAAGTTCAGTACCTCATGGATAGATAGATAATAATTAGGGTTAGTACCCTAAACGCCAATCCCTTTGTGATCATCTTTTCCGGAATGACTTATTATTTTAATTATTATGTTTTAGGAATGGAATTATTTCTTATAGCCACAAAAATATTTAGAAACTTTAATTTAAAATTAGTATTATTAAATATTCCAGAAAGGTAATAAACACTACTTTTCAGTGTATGTTTAAAGTAAATGGTACTGGAAGGGGGTTACAGACTTAATTCTACTTTTGGCGTTCTTCAATTTCAACACCAAACAATTTGGGCAACTAACCCATTGAAATTGTGGAACTATTCAAAATTTAGCATATGGTCTTAAAGATTATTTTTTTCCTAAAAATTTTAAATTTGATTTATCTATATTGTGTTTGAAGTGACTGCTCTGTTTATTTCTGTTTCCCTTTATGAAGGTTACTTTAAGATTACTTTATTAATACCTGTATTTCTTATAAAACAGAGATTTATTATGAGTGAAGCCTGGCTTTAATGATTTGTTAAATAAGAAAATAGCGTAAGTGGTTGATTATAGGATATGTTTTAAATGGGGCCAGTCTGTGTTAGGTAGGATGAGAAATATGTGGGAGTGCTCATATTTGGGCTACAGCAGGTTAAAAAAAAAATCAGACAGTATTTAAAGAGACATACCAATTTAAAGAGAAACTAACCTAGTAAAACCCTTTAAAATAGCCACACAAAGTCCTGTGTATTCATGGTAAAGGAGGAATGCAGGATGGTCAATAAATTAGAAATTGCATTTTGTTGAAGCAAAATCTGACACTTTGCTCTGATTTCAATACCATAAACACTTCTCATTGTACAGGTGGAAAACAATGGATAAGGCAAAAAGTAAAAATACAGGTTATGGTTCTGGTCCCCAGATAATATAACCTTGACTGTGTCCAATAAATCCATACTCGCCCACCTCATCTACCTGAAGATATGTCATGATCTTTGTGAATACAATGATTGTGATAAAGTTGCTGTTTTTTGTTGTTGTTGTTATGAGTAGTCTAATGGGAACTTAGCAACCTTAGTGATTCTGTGTGGTTTTTCTGTTTAAATTCTTGCTGTGTTTTCCAATTTGATGAGCTAGTACTGAAGTATGTGTCCCTTGTACTTTTTTCAGGTTTGCCTGCAAACCTAATTCTTACTCTTTCCTTTTTCAATGCTTATATCTCTGTATCTTTTTTTTTGTAAATTGTAAATTTTTGTGTGTCAAGATAAAATCTTTACAATCAATTAATTTTTTAAAACCTGGTTTTGGATAGAGATATCCCCCCAAGGCGCAAAGAAATCCCCAATTTATTTGGCTGCTTGGATTTGTCTGTTTTTAAAATAATATTTAACAAGGGGTACATTTAACTCTTATATTAACGTGCCTAAAATTATATGTAGTAATAATTATAAACAGGGCTATAGGGGGGAAAAGTGATAATATTTTTATTAAAACTGTGGTGAATGAATATTTTTTTAAAGTTTCAAATCCCAGAAAATTAAAGTGCAAAAGTATTTCTTAGTAGGGAGTTTCCAGAAGGTACTATGTAGAAGTTTATGGAAGAATCCTTTTGAAATGTTTTCTTTGATTTAAAAATAAAAAGTAATATGACAAAAGAAACGCACTTCATATATACGGGTAGCATTTAACTACTGAAATTGTCCAACGTGTTAGATTTCTGATACAATCTTATTGTTGCTGATTTTCTAATTATCTTCAAATTTCATGTCACAATAGGTTTTGGCCTTTATTTCTAAAAAAACAAAATGTAACATGTAAAAAAAATAGTTCATTGTTAATATTAATCTTTAATTTTCAATACTTCATTGGGCAGCTCTGAATTTTACATGAAGTTTATTAAGATAGGAACTAACCAAAGTTTTAAAGTAAAGTGTCAGTAACATTTGTGGTCATGTGAAGGGCTACAGTTATACCCTGGTTCTTTTTCTCCCACTCCTCAATTTACTTTGGAGTATAATAGATTATTATTACATAGTAGATTATATATTATATCTGTATAATAGATTATTTTTATAGGACTCCGATCACCTTTGTGTATGTGTGGGAGGGGGCAGTAAGAGGCTAAATCAATGAGACCCCTCTGTCCCTGCATGTTCCTGTTGAAACATCTGTTTTTGTTTTGAACACTCATTTCATAAATATTAGCAGTCCCCAACTTAAAAACATTGTGTTCCACCAAGTACTTGTGCATTAGCTCTTTGGAACTTTCAAAGCGCTTCTCTCCATAGAAACAAAGTTGTAAACGGTGCTTTGGGTTGCTAGTCTACTCTACAAAGATCTAAGACCCTAGGGAAGAATAAAATGTTGGAAAAGTCCTGTGGCAATGCTAGTAATCAAAGCAGCATTAAATTAGAAAGTGTTTTATTTATCTTGAATGTTGGAGCCTGAGGACAAACATTTATTTGGAAGAAAAGGAGATAGAATGGTTATTTCAGAAAGATTCTAAGCCTACTTTCAAGGTCACAAAGGTTGATGGAAGATCTTAAGTAGAGTTTTCCTTCATTACATACATATAGCTTTCTTTTGGTTTCAAGTGTATCACTAGAATTACCTTTATGATGTTTTTGTTTTTGTTTTGTTTTGACCTGATTAACAAAAGGACTGAAAGAGATAAGTACAGGGAGAAATTTTTCTGAGTTAAGTTGGCAAAAGTTTGAATGAGAGAATAATTTATTATACAGGACATGCATGTCCTTGGTTGTATGACCATGGGTGATAAGTTACCTATCTCCTACATCTCTCATTCTTCATCTGTAACATTGCTGTGGCTCTTAGATTAAATGGTATAACTAATGTGTCTGGCACAATAGGTATTTGAGAAATTTAATTCAATTTTTCTCCTTCCCTAAAAAGGGAATTAATGTTCAAGATAGTCAAAGAACAGTGTCTAGAGGATTCTTAAAAGGAAGAAACCAGAAAAGCATGGCAAGCAAGAAATTTAGGATTATGTGGTTCTTCACATGGTTGTCACTTTTTAACTTCCGTCTTCTATTTAAATAATACCCATTAGAGGAATTGGGGGAACAGTCTCAGGTTTGGTAGGCAGCGGGTCCTACAATGTGTCTCCACTCTCTATATAAATAGGACCAAAAAGTTTCCAACTAACCAACTTTATAGTTCTTTAAAGCCTTTAGAAAATGTGAATGATGGCAAAGTCTCCAAGTGAGGAGAATATTACTGCTTAGTGCTCAAAGAATCAGGAAACCAAAGATTCAGGGCAAAAAGGCTATGCAGAGAAGGCCAACAATAACCCTTAGAAGTCCTTGTATATAAAATGTTTGAATTTTATGACTTGAAGAGCATATACTATTTCAACTGAGTGAAATGAAAGGAAAAAGTTTCTTTCTATGGATAGAGAAAATACAAAATGTTTCCTTAGTTTTGAATTCATTAGGTACATTTTTAAAAGGAGTCACTTTTTCTTCAAAAATTTTTTCCTCTTCATTCTCTGTCCCATAAAAGATCATACACTTTTCCAGAAAAGCCAAATAAACTTAGAAAAGTTATAATACATTATTCTGCCCAATTGAAATTTTTTTTCATGAAATTAAATGAAATGAAACCACATGTGCTTGTTCCTGTTTTGGAGAAATGATCTACAACTATGACACGACAGCACTTTGCTTCCCAATTTCCTTGCAAAATAATTGTGCTGTTTGCACTATGTGTTCAGTTTTTCATTTTGTCTTTCAAGGCAGAATTTTGTCTTAGCCCTGGGTTTCTGTAAACAGATAGGAATTCACTTACAGTTCTTTGTCCACTGAACTTATTTTTCAAGTTCACTTGAAGCATTCTTCTGCAATTAATAGATTCTTGAGGGGCTAAGGTAAAAGCAGATCTTTGTTGCAGATTGTATCTGAACAAATTGCTTCTACTGAAAGCACAACAGGTAGTCTATTTGTTTAGCACAATTAATGCTGGTCCTGCCTGTGGGAATGAGAGGGACATATTGAAATTAACATAGGAAAAATGAAGGGAAGAATTCCAAATCAGTGACCCATATATCTGTTAGACTTAATGGTCTGGAACTGGCAGATAGGGTTTCTACAAATTACTAAACTTAAAATGTGTTGAGTTTGAGATACTTAATCTGGCTCTTAGATTA